TGGGGAAACACAGAATGACCTGAGAAACCCCCAATTTGATGTGTCACAGTACCCTTAATTACCCCAATCTGATGAGAGCAACATAGTACTCCCTGGGGAGCCCCAGTCTGACAAGAGAAATGCTCTAGTCCACAATGCTCTAGGACTTCAGCATCTGCTCCTACCTTCCAGAATCTGCTCTGCTCAAGGTCACTTGTGACCTCCTGCAGAATATCTAATGCAGACTTTTCAGTGCTGTTTAAAAGCCTTTAGTGGCTCCCCACTGCCTTTAGCATAAAGTCTAAGCTCATAACCACAGCACTCAAGACCTTCGCTCTGGCCTCTCATCCTTCCAGCTTCATCTCTCTCTAGTCCCACTTCGTACTGTGCTCCCATCGTACTGGAGTACAGGAGTCCTCTGAACCAACCCATGGTTTCACTTTCTGAGGTTTCAGTTACCCATGGTCAACTGTGGTTTAAAAATATTAAATGGAAAAATCCCAAAATAAACAGTTCATCAGATATAAATTGTGTGCTGTTCTGAGTAGAATCTTGAGCCATCCTGCTCCATCCTACTCAGGACGTGAATCATCCCTTTGTCCAACATACCACACTGTATACACCGCCTGCCTGTTAGTCACTTAGCAGTTGTCTCAGTTGTCAGAGCAACTGGCCCTATCACAGTGCTTGTGTTCCAGGTCAGTAGTAGCTTAACTGTACGTCACATGCCTACGTCATCCACCTTACTTCATCTCATCACGTAAGCATTTTATCTTTTCACATCATCATAAGAGGAAGGGTGAGTACAGTACAATATGATATTTTGAGAAAGATTACATTCACACAACTTTTATACAGTACATTGTTATAATTGTTTTATTATTAATTGTTAATCTCTTACTGTGCCTAATTTATAAATTAACCTTTACCATAGGTATGTATGTGCAGGAAAAACATAGTATATAGAGAGTTTGGTACTCTCTGAGGCTTCAGGCATCCACTGGGGGTCTCAAAGCATGTCCCCCGAGGATAAAGGGGGAACTACCTAACTTGCAGTTCCCTCCATCTGGAGTGTCCTTCCTCCTGGTCTCAGCTAAAGCATCCTAGTCTCGGGGGAACATTTAGATTACCTGAAGTCACCTTACTAAGAGAGGGGCACCTGCTCTGTGCTGCTACTTATCTCAGTGGGCTCTGATTGCCCATTTACTGCTGATCTCTGTCATGTCTGGCCTGGTCACCATGGCAGCCCCTGTGCTCAATGCAGGATGAATAAATGAATAAACAGTTTTGTATTTTGGATAGAGAAGCAGTCTAACTCTCCCCAAAGCGCAAAGCTCCCTCAGGACCTAGGACCTCCTCTTGGCACTATCATCACCTGGAAACACAAGAAACAGATCCATCTGTGCAGGCACAGCCCTGGGGTGTGTGTGTGCATGTGTGCGTGTGTGTGTGTGTGTGTGTGTTGTGTGTGTGTGTGTGGTGTGTGTGTGTGTGTGTGTAGGGAGGCTGTTCCAGGAAGACAAATTTCAGTTTAATGCAAAGAGGTGCCTTTTCTTTTTTTTTTTTTTTTGAGACAGAGTCTTACTCGGTCACTCAGGATAGCTAGAGTGCTGAGGCATCAGCCTAGCTCACAGCAACCTCAAACTTCTGGGCTCAAGCGATCCTCCTGCCTCAACCTCCTGAGTAGCTGAGACTACAGGCATGCGCCACCATGCCCAGCTAATTTTTTCTATATATTTTAGTTGGCCAATTAATTTCTTTCTATTTTTAGTAGAGACGGGTCTGGCTCTTGCTCAGGCTGGTTTCCAACTCCTGACCTTGAGTGATCCTCCTGCCTCCGCCTCCCAGAGTGCTAGGCCTGAGCCACCACGCACAGCCAAGAAGTGCCTTTTCTTTGCACGCAAAGTTGGGGTGCCTGGACAGTAATGAGCTCCCTCAGTGGGGGTGTACCAGTGGACATGCCCACCTGGAGGGATGGCCAACAGGAAAGGCCTAGCAGTCTTCAAGGCTCCTGGAAGATCCCCCAGCACACACATATCATAGAGTCCTGCAGGAAGGAGCCTGGGGAGGATGGGAGGCCCCTTACCTCTCCAGGGGCCGGTGCAGCCGTTTCCAGCCAGGGTAAGCCGCCTTGGCCTCCGTGCCACCGCCAGTCATACGGGCCTGTTTTGCGGCCTGGGCCGAGCGAGTGTCCAGGATGAAGCCCCGGGCCCCAGGGCGAGCCCCGGCCAGCACAGCTCGCAGCAGCTCCTCATCCTCCGCACAGCGCCGCTTTTGGGGACCGGTCAGAGGCTGGCTGGAGCGTAACAGAACCTGCGGACAGGGACTCAGCTCACGAAGTGTGCCCACCCAGCCTGGGGAGCCCACGGGCCAGGTCTACACACAGGAGCCAGGCTAGAGCTGGCAGGGGCGAGCTGGAGCACAGGGACCGTAGGGGTGGAACTCTTCAGGCTTTGGACCGGTCAGTGTGCTGTGGCCAGAGTGGGGAGGGCCCCTGTGAATAGACGGTGGTAAGTCCTGGGTTGACAAAGAAGGAACTGAATTTCAAGTGGCCCAGGGCAGCCTACAGCCTGGCCAGAGTGGGCGAACGCTGGAGCGGAGGGGGCCGGGGCGGGACAGGGCAGGAGCCGGAGCAGCAGCCTGGCTGCCAACCAGCGGAGGACGGCGGACAGGCGGCGCAAGAGGCGTCCGCGGCCTGGCGGCCCGGTTCCGCTGGGAGAGTGGCTGTAGCTGAGCACAGGGAAGCGGCCTCCCTGGCGGAAGCGGGCGCTGCGTGCCAAGGCATCGTCGTCCACCGCGCGAGGCACGATCACCGCACGGGGGTAACTGGGGCACAAGCTGAAGTCCTCGTTCACCTCGCTAAGCCGCCACGCGTCGGTCTGCGGCGCAGGGAGGGACGAAGGCCAGGTTTAGGGGACCAGCGAGTGCCCTGTCCCCGCGCCCCTTCCAGGCCCGGCGTTTCCACATCCCCAGGCCCCCACGACCGCGCCCACCTCTCGGGCTACTCGCTTGTAGTAGCGTTCGGGCGGGTGGAAGTGCCAGGCGTCGCCCAATCTCAGGCCCTTGGGACGGTAGAAGAACGGAAAGGACGTGATGACCGATTCCAGGGAGGACAGCGCCTGGGGAAGGAAGTAGGGGCTCTGGGGAAGATCGGAATCGTCACGCGTGCCCTTTCCAGCCCCTCCGCGTCGCAGCCTGTCCACGTACCTCAGACCACCCTGCAGCCCCCTGCCATTTGCCGTGCCCTGGGACAGACTGGATGCAGAGCTCCTTTGCACAGCAGCGCCTTTTTATTGCACTTCCCTCTATAAGGGACAGGCATAGCTTAAGGGCTTCAGGTGCGCTCTCAGCATACCTCGATGGAGCGGGCGATGTCCAGCGTCGCTTCCACGCCCTCTATTTCCAGCTGCAGCACCCGCAGGTCCTTACAGCGCAGCGTGATGGTGCCGGAGTCACCCGCAACCCTGGGGATGGACGTGCCCAGGCTCAGTGTCCCCCGCCCTCCACCGGGGGAAGGGAAACGAGTTTCATAGGACTGGACGCTAGGCAGGAAAGCGCCCGCTCCAGCTGCGCTTGCCCTTCCCCCTCTTCCCGCCGAGCCGCGCGCTCCCCTACTCTGGGGACGCCCCCACCACGTCTAACCTCTTCTCGATAGAGTCGACATTGCGCAACAGCAGCAGCCACAGGTCTGGAGTCGACTGGGGCCCTGGAGACAGCAGCAGGTGGTGGCCGGTGACGCACAGCGTGCCGCGCAGCGGGGGCGCCTCGGGACCCCGCAGGAGCTGTGCTTGGGCCCGGCCTGTACGGATCAGCTCCGAGAACTCCATTCCGCCAGCAGGGCACTCGGGGCCCAGCGCGACAGATTCCGGGAGCTTGGGGCGAGGCAGGCGCGGGCTCCAAAAGGGACAGGAACTGGCTGAGCAGCTGGCGACACCCGCAGGACAGCTGTTAAGGAGGCCCCTCAGAGGAAGGGATCTCAGAGTTTCACCGGAATCCTCTCCTCACACTGCCAGTATCTCTTAGCTAGGTCCCTGGCCAGAGCCTGTTATAAGGAAACCTCAATTTCATCATCTGTAAAATGGGGAGAATAATCTTGCCCAAAGCCCTTAGCCCCCCTCCCGTGCCCCCCCCCCCGCCTGGGTCACAGGAGACACTCAATATTTTTGTGTGTTTTTTTAAGCCCTGAGTGCTAGCACTACCGCTAACTCAAAAAACAAAGAAAAATAACCATCTCTTCCCCTATACTCTGGTGGAAGGGCTGGAAAATGTGGGAGTAAAATTGGGAACTTCCTGCTTCCTCCCGGTATGTAAAGGGTAGTGGAGGAAATCCCTTGGTCCACCTTAAATGCCCCTCCCCCTCCACAGCTGGAAGTCCCTGCCTGTGGGAGCACTCTTTGCCAGCCACTTCTTAGGAGTCCTGCCCCTCAAAAACCCCATCCTCTGTCACGCCATCCTTTCACCAAGCATGCATTGCCCATACTGTGAGCTGTGTGTCGGTGTTGGGACCCAGGGGTGACAGGAAGTTCTGTTCACAGGGTTTTCAGTCTGGCAAGAGACACACTTAAGCTGGTAAAATTACAGTAGGAGGCCAGACTGATTTACTGGAGGACTCATTCATTCATCTATTCTCCTAGTTATTTTTTCATTTCTTAAACACTGGAGGCTGCACTGTGCTGGGTGCTGGTTACCAAGAATAAGACCAACTCTTCCCTTCAAAGGGCCTTCTGGTCCACTAGGTTCCAGACTTTCAAATGAAAAAAAAAATAAAATCATAGGTGGGTCCCCATAATATAAACATAAAATTGGAACTGCTCTGTAAAAGGATTCAGACATGGAAGAGCACAGATTGTAAAATTCCAGATGAGCAGCAGCAGCTGGGATGAGAATTTGGTAGAAATGCAAATTATCAGGCCCTATCCCATACAGACTGAATCAAAACTCTGATCTTAGCAAGCTTTCCAGGTGATTCTGATGCATGCTACAATTTGAGAACCACTGGAGAGTGTACAAACAGGCGAAGCTAATGTATGCTGTCAGAAATGAGTGTAGTGTTACCCTTAGAAATGTAGTGACAGGCCAGGAGCACACAGGAGGTTTCCTGAGTGCTGGTAATACTCTTGCTCCATCTGGGTGCTGGTTACATAGGTGTGTGTTCAGTTTAGGAGAATTCATCAAGCCATGCATTTATGATATGTGCAATTTTCTGTGTGTGTCTTATATTGCAACACAAAGTTTAAAAAGGAGAACTTCTCTGGTTGAAGCCTGGGGAGGGGCAGAGAGAGGGAGGGCTGGGAACCATCCACAGCTTTGCCCTTCCATCCCCCTGCGGGTAGCCCTTTGAAGGATTTCCAAGGGAACCTAAGGTTCCTTAGAGTATAGCCTGAAGTCCTTGGTCTGTCCCAGCAGAGCTCAGAAGAGGTCAGTGACTTGTCCAAGGTTCCACAGAGCCAGCACTAGAACCCAGGTCTCCTGACTCTCAGGCCAGGGCCCTGCATGTGATTCCTTTGGTAAAGGGCTGGTGTCCTGAGTAAGGATGCGGAGCAGCCAGTCACCTCCTCCCACCTCTCAACTACCTTAACTTGGACCTTGGGAGGAAAGCCAAGACTCTGATGTGAGTGATGCTTTTCTCATCCTGGATTGACTTCCTTTCTGGGAACTGGGTGTCTCCTTCTGGGCAAAGACAATAAAATTCATCCGAAGGGCCAGAGGAGCAGGGCTCCTCCTGTCCCCATCCGGATGGGCATCACGTGGCTCCTGGGTTAGCAGTCCAGGAAAATTCCAGCCCTTGCACACTTGGCCTCACATAGCCATCTGCTCACTCACCCTGGCACACTCAGCCTTCCTAACCCACCTTGAACATTCACCATCGCAAGCTCTTTTCATCCTCAGCTTCTGCTGTTTTGGGGTATTTTTTTTTTAGAGAGTCTTGCTCAGTCTCTCGGGCTAGAGTGCAGTGGCATTATCATAGCTCACTGCAACCTCAAATTCCTGGGTTCAAGGGGATCCTCCTACCTCAGCCTCCTGAGTAGCTGGGGGACTACAGGTGCACCCCACCACACCCAGCTAATTTTTCTACTTTTTGTAGAGACGGGGTCTCACTCTAGCTCAGGCTGTTCTCAAACTCCTGACCTCACGATCCTCCCACTTCAGCCTCCCAGAGTGCTAGGATTACTGCCGCTTGTCCCTGGGAAATATTGCCAGCTTTTCCCTAATCCCAGAGTGGCAGCCCTGCCCTGTCACTTACCTCAAACCCACCATGTCCCTTGGGCCACTGAAATTCCAGGCAATGGGTGAAGAAGATGAGGAGGAGGAGAGCCTGGACTCCGTGAAGGCACTGACGGCCAAGCTGCAGCTGCAGACTCGGCGGCCCTCCTATCTGGAGTGGACAGCCCAGGTCCAGAGCCAGGCCTGGCGCAGGGCCCAACTCAAACCTGGGCCAGGAGGACCCGGGGCCATCTGTGGCTTTGACTCGATGGACTCCGCTCTTGAGTGGCTCCGACAGGAGCTGGTGAGTCTGGTGGGGTGGGCAGCCTTGCACGGGGCCTTCAGGCCAGTCGTCTTGAGGGCCCAAGACCATGGGTGTGGGGAGGGGATGAGAATGGGCTCCACCTCCAGCAAGTGCCCACTCCTGTGTCCTGGGCTGCCCTTGGGGGGGCCACCATTATAGGCAGGAAAAGACATGGCCTGCCCTACTCTGGGAATTGCTGTACCCCAAAGATACAGTAAAGGACAGAAGGAGGCACTGACCATGCTGTGGGCAGAATCAGAAGAGGTGAGGGCTGGATAGGTGGCTGTCGACCCAACACACAAATATACAGATGCTCGGGCTCCAACTGGGAGATTCTGCTTAGTTGATCTGTATTTGCTTCACAATGGCTCCTTAGCTCAGTTTGAGAACTACCAGTGTGGAGCAAGATCTGACAGATGGGGAGGCATCAAGCTGAGGTGAGAGAGGACTGGGGAGGGCACAGCCGGTGCAAAGGCCCTTGCTGACCTGAAGGGAGGAAGGGAGCGAGGCAGAGGGCCAGCCCAGCAGGCTCACGCCCCCTCTCGGCCACAGCGGGAGATGCAAGCTCAGGACCGGCAGCTGGCGGGGCAGCTGCTGCGGCTGCGGGCCCAGCTGCACCGGCTGAAGATGGACCAAGTCTGTCACCTGCACCAGGAGCTGCTGGATGAGGCCGAGCTGGAGCTGGAGCTGGAGCCTGGGGCGGGCCTGACCCTGGCCCCGCCGCTGCGTCACTTGGGCCTCACACGCATGAACATCAGCGCCAGGCGCTTCACCCTCCGCTGAGGGACACCTGCTGTCACTTCCCCAGGCTGCCTGGGAAGAGGGAGGGAGGGGTGCCCCAGAGGCCCAGCACCTGGTGGGGAAGCGGGGAGCACTCAGGTCTCTCAGAAATGAGTCCCAAGGGTGCAAACCAGGACCATCCTGTCACCCCTGCTGCCCTAGCTGGCCAGGGGGAAGGGGAGGAGCTCAGACCCCCAAGCTCCTCAATAAACACCCTTTGTGCTTCCCACCAAGGTCTCTGCAGTCGTTTATTCAGGCCCAAGGCCACTGTCTGTCCTCTGTTGCTGGGAGCATGTTGGCCGACTGCAGGAGAGATGGCCCATGCTAGGGGTGGAGATGGCCAACTGATGACTCCCCACCGCCTCCACAGCTCCAGCCCCATCTCTCTGTCTTACCAAGACCAGAGTTAGGGCTGGGAATGGTGGCACACGCCTATAATCCCAGCACTTTTGGAGGCCAAGCCAGAAGGATCGCTTGAGGCCAGGAATTGGAGACCAGCCTGGGCAACATAGCATCACCCCATCTCTACAAAAAAAAAAAATTAGCCAGCATGGTGGTGTGCATATGTAGTCCCAGCTACTTGGGAGGCTGAGGCAGAAGGATCACTTGAGCCCAGGAGTTTGAGGTTGTAGTCACCCTATGGGAGGCGACTTAGGTAAATTGGGCTGCTGTAGAATGCAGAATCTGGCAGGCCTGGGTTCAAAGCCAGTGCTCCCATTTATTTCTATTGGATCGTGAGGCGGTCCCTGAGCCCCTGAATCTGTTTCCTCACATGTACAGTGGAGATGCTGATTCCCACTCCACAGGTAGCTGGACGTGCCTTCAGTGAGATAGTGTACAGTAAGCACTTGCTGCTGTCACCAGCAATCTTGTTACTCTCGTGCGAAGCCGGAAATGGACTGCGAGGTGTTGAGGTTTACAGTGCAAGGACAGCTGGGCCCTGCACCAGGCCTGCCGCCCGACCCTGGGCTCTGTGTCACTCTGTAGGTTTTTTAGTTTGTTTCTCTCAGCCTTTGTTTCTGTGTTACCCTCTTTGTCTGACTTTCCAACTCGGGCTTCCTCTTCCCCCCACCCATTTCCTGCCCCGCCTTCCTCTGCAGCTGAGGTGCACACAGCACCGGCTTCCACCTCACAAACCCCAACAATACTCTGCGGCCTCCCTGCCCCCACCGGCTGGCCCGGGCAGTGACGCATTTACACCTTCCTCCCAGTGGGGTCAAGGCCCAGTTCTTGGGCCTGGTATAGGCCACCTGGAGTTCTTCATATCACTGGCAACCTGGCCCTTAGCCTATGATGGGTGCCACCCACAGCCCGGCCCCAGGTGAAATGGAAATTTTTGGCCAGCCTGCTGCTTGTGATGAGGTTCTTGCCTCCTGCCAGTAACAGAAAGTCCTGCCGGTCTGCTGGCTTCACCTGGGTGTCTGGGCCCAGGTCTCCCACTTGCAGGAGATGGCACCAAGCCCTGCACCTCCACCAGGAGCTGTGGCCTTGCCTCTACCTGAATTAGAAGTGTCGCTCTAATTTGTCGTACTTTCCAACCGTGATCAGTGGGTATTGTCCTGTTCTCTGTGGATAGCAGGAGCTGTTACTGTGCCCTCTCGAAGACGGGGCTACCCCCTCCTGAAACAGGCTCCTGTCCAGCATTCTGTCCGTAAGGGGGCTGTCAGCCTACCCTCTGCCTACCCTTGACTATAATAAAGCTATTGTCCCATGCCCGGAGATGACATGGGCATTGTTCTGTTGGCCGACTGTAGCAGCTGTTTTAGCCTGACATCTGGCTGGAACGTGTGGTCTGCTCTCCAGCATTTTAACTCGGATATTGTCCTGTTCTCTGACTCTGAGCGATGCTACCTTTGCTGTCAGGCTGAAACAAAAGGGTCACTCAGCCCTCAGGCTATAACAATGGTGCCACTTGCCTTCCACTGTAAGCGGAGTGTGTCTCTGTTTGCCCCTGCTCGCTGGGGCAGAAGGCCGCCCTTGACTCTCTAGCCCAGGTGCACCCTGGAGGCCAGAAGGGAGGGTCCAGCAAACATCCTCCCTCAGTTTTAAGCCTCAAGTGGTACCCTCGGGGTGAGTAGGGCCTGGTCTGGAGATGTAGGGGACCCTCAGGGGCTGAGGGGCGGGGGGCTATAGTGGCAGGAAGCTTGGGGTGCTGGAGGCTTGTGGTTGGGCTGCTGGGGCCCGGTTGGCTGCGGAGCCCTCGGGAGGAGGCAGGAAGTCAGGGTGGGACGTGGGCGCGGGGAGACAGGCGGTGGCTAAGACGGCGAGGGGAGCTGAAGGTGTCCGGGCAGCCAGGTTAGGCCAAGAGGACCATGTGAATGGGGCTGGAGGCTCCCGGGCTGGGCAGGTAAGGATTGCTGGATGCAGGGGCTAGGGGCCGTGGTGCGGAGCCTGACAGCTGAGGCTGTGGCTGCGAGTGGGGCCAGGCTCCCTGGGGACACAGCAGCCCTTCAGGCTGAGACAGAAAATCTTTGCTGGAGGTCAGGTGGGAGGCACGCAGTGCAGCTGGCTCACCTCTTTCCTGCAAAGTGGTGGCTCTTGTCTCTGCCACACTGTCTGCCAACGGCCCCCACCTCACCGGGAGCATGCTTCTGGGAGATCTGGCACATGGGTTGTCAGGTATTAAAAAGGCCTTCAGAAATCACCAAGGCCAGTCCCTCGTCCCATGAGGATGAGGCTCCTGAGCCCCAGAGGGGGCCTGGCACTCACTGCCAGCCTCTTAGCAAGGCAGTGGCAGAGCCAGGCCCTGGGAGGGAGTGATGGCCGGAGGCTGTGATCCCCTCAGCCCCCATGGAGAATGGTAAGGGACAGGTTTGAGTGAGGGGACCCAGGAATCTTTTGGCTCCTGGGGCAGACCCCAGTGACAAGAATTTCCTGAGAGAGAAAGAGAGGAGGCACCCAGAGCACCCAGATGGACGCGTGAGAAGTCTTTTTAGCCTCGGTGACCAGCACCGAGAGAGGGAGGAGTCCGCGATGGCAGATGGCAGTGCATGGATGTGTGAGGGGTGTTTGTCATCTGGGAGGGAGTCTCCAGGGCGGAGGGACATATCTGATCTGGCTCTGGGAAGTTGGAGGTGAAAGACAGCGACAAGGGAAGGGAAGAGGAAGGGCTATTTTTATCCCGGACAGGGGTGCAGTTGTCCCTGGACAAGGAACTGCTGAACTTCCACCTGGAAAGCTGCCATTCCTGCCCCTGCCAAGTGTCACAGCAGGATGTCCTTCTCTCTGTCCTTGCTGCCTCCTGCTTCAGCCCTGCTGCTTTAAACCCCAGGGAGGAGGCCCAGGAAGGGACAGTCAGCGATCTGCTCTCCCCCTCACTGTTTACCTCTGAGCCTTCAGTTTTTGGGGAGAGTCCCCACCCCAGCCAGACTTTCCAGGTTCCCCCTGTTTCACTGGAGTTTTTCATGACACACACTTTCTGCCTAGTCAGCATATCCCAGCCTGTCTCTTGTCTCCAAGGCTGTGGCCTCTGTGGGGGCTGGGGACCACCTGGCTCTCCTCGTGCTCCACCCCGAACAGGTGGAGCAGTTCCCTCCCCCCAGCCTGTACCGACCAACAGATGAATCCGACAGGGTCCCCCGCCCCTGGCGCCTGGGAGCAGAGGCTCTTCACAAAGGGAGAAAGGGCCAAACACAGGCCAAGTTCAGAGGCGAGGAGAAGGGTACTCCTTCGTGGGGTTCTGGAAAGCTTCCTGGAAGAGTCAAGGCAGTTCTGAGAAGGACAAAGGCCCATTTTGGATAGCACCTAGGACACGAAGCCAAGGTCATTATGCCTGGATGCTATCCTTGGGTAGGATGAAGGCAGAGACCTCAGAGCAAGGCAAGTGAGCCCATGGGTTTGGTGCAGTGCAAAGAACATGTGTTTCAGGGTCAGGCCGACCCAGGTGCAATTCCGGTTCTGCCATTTCCTTGAGCGAGTGGCTTCACCAGCTTCAGTTTACTTATCTGTAAAGAGGCGATAACAAATCCCTCCTTTATAGAGTGCTTGTGGTCAATCAAGGAAATACTGACTATTAGGTGCCCTGGATAGTACCTGACACATAGTAGGTGCTCAAGGGAGGTTAGGCACTCCCTCCTCCTGCAAATGATGTACCAAAGGGAGGCCTGTCCACACCCAGAATTACACCCACTCAGCATTTTGGCAGGCCAGCAAACCACCCATTCCCTCACACTTGTGGTGTGGCTTCGCAAATGACTTTGCTTCCTGTATCTAGTGGGTGTGAGAACGCAGGCAGGATGGATTCTGAGCTCAGCCATGGGGTCTACTTTAGAAGAGGCTCCCTCACACACTCCCCGACAGACACACACACCACATCCCAAACGCCATACCCATCATCATAGGAAAATGTTCGTGCGCAGACACGTTCAGAGTCCAGAGGCAGGGGCAGGACTCCATGTACAACACAGACTGGATCGATCCTATGATTCCATAGACACCCCCACAAGCTGACGGCTTCAAGGCCAAGTTCAACTCGGTGAAAGCAATTCTGATGGGGGGTTGGATGAGACGGAGGGAGGCAGGACCAAGATTCCATCCAGGAACGTGGCCTCTGACAACCAACTTCAGGGTTGATTTTAAAGTATCTGGAATTGTATTTCTAACGTTTGTGCTAAATAAAGAACACTAGTTCCACTAGTTCTATCCGGAAAGAAAAGGGCTCTGGGGCCAGATCATCACAGTCTCAGCTACAAACTCTGGCCCATCTTAGCTTCATAATCAACGTGAGCTTGTTAAAGCTCTGAACGTCTCCACAGAGAAGAAGCCTGGTTCATTTTGTCTAACCCCATGTTTCCCCAGCTTCCTTAGTTGCAGACCCCTTTTTTCCATGTCGCCTATTCCATGCCTACACCTCTCAAGAGAAGGAAAGGCGTGCAAGGCCCCGGGTGGGCTGTGCAGTTGATACTCCTCAAATGATTGTGTCTGTCGGCAGAGTTTTTATGTTGGCAATGGGTTTGCTGTTTTTGTTTTCCAATTATAAAATTAGCACAAGGCAGTTTTAAAAAATTCGAACAGTACAGAGACAGAGAAATGCAAGAAATGCTGCTAATCCCACTTCTGGGATGTGCTTGCTGAGAACAATTTGCTGTGCATCCTTCCAGATTTTCCTACGTATGGCTGCATGGCTGCTGAAAAGCATGGCGGTTAAGAGTCTAGTCTCTTTGCCTGCAGCCGGCTGAAAGACAAAAAAAAAAAAAAAGACTCTAATCTCTGGAGGCAGGGTTCAACTTGCAACTCTACTGCTCATTTGTTATGAGGCCTCAGACAAATCACGTTACCCGGTTTGGGCCTCAGTTTTGCATATGTAAAATGGGAACAATAACAGCACTTACTTTATAAGAATTATGAGAATTACATGAAACAATGTGGATAAAGACTTAGCACAGAAACTGGCTTAAAAGAATCCCCTATATGTACATTTTTTGTTTGTTTGGAGACGGAGTCTCACTCTGTCACCTTGGGTAGTGTGCAGTGGCATCATTGTAGCTCACTGCAACCTCAAACTCCTGGAGTCAAGAGATCCTCCTGCCTCGGCCTCCGGAGTAGCTGGGACTATAGGTATGTGCTAGTACACCCGGCGAGTTTTTCTATTTTTAGTAGAGATGGAGTCTCACTTTTGTTCAGTCTGGTCTCGAACTCCTGAGTTCAAGCAATCCTCCCGCCTCGGCCTCCCAGAGTGCTGTGATCATAGGCCTGAGCCACCATTGCCCGGCCCTATGTGTACCTATTTAAATGCAAGTCGGCTTATACGCTACACTCTGTTCTGCAACTTGCTTGCCATGTTGTTTGTATCTGGCACATCTTTCCACGTCAGTACATGGAGCTCTACTTCATCCTTTTAATGGTTTTAGCTAAATGTTAGCTTGGTGAATGGGTAATGGTGGTGATTTTGAAATGCTACTTCCTGGCGAGTATTGCTGTCTTTTGTTGCCATATTGTTGGCAGTCAGAGATATTACTGATCAGCAAGCTAATAACAGGCCTTAGAGCCTCCTGTGAAACCGAAGTGACCTCCCAAAGGGACCCACCTCAGTCACAGAGGACAGGGCCATATGGATGGGACCCTGTCTGTCTGCTCACCCCTGTGTCCTCAGCACCAGGTTGGACCCTGGCACATAGAAGGTATCCATTACATTTTTGTTAATAGGCTGGCTCCTCTAACCCACCAACAGAAGCCTAAGCCCAAAGTTTTCTCTCAAAGTACAGCATTCCCTGAAACATGGCCTGTACACCATTAATGTGTGTGAGTGATTTTAGGGGATAACGAATGAATGTTTGCAAATGTTAATTAATGTGTTTATGTTAATGTGCACTAATACGTATCTTCTAGTTATGGCTGGTGATACTGGTTTTCCACTTATGGTAGTAAAGTTTCCATTTTAGATAAATATATCAAAGGTGAAAAAGTAGTCTGTAGAAGTACCAAAAATCACAGAGGAAAATGAAAACGATAGATTATTTTAATCTGGAAGATGTTTAAGTGCAATGAAATGTCTGTGCTACCCTCAAGTAACAATTATTCTCATTTATTTAGTCCTTACTATGTACGAAGCACCATGTTAAGCATTTTATTATACGGGCTCATTTATATATCACATATAATGTTCACAACAGCTCTAGTTGCAGATCTTATTTTCTTTTGTTTGTTTTGTTTTGTTTTGTTTTTTTGAGACAAGAGTCTTGTGCCAGCGCTACGAGTGAGTCGTGGGCACTCAGCCCTCGTCACAGCAACCTCAAACTCCTTGGGCTGCATAGAATCCTCCTGCTCAGCCTCCGAGTAGCTGGGGACTACAGCATGCACCACATCAGCACGGCTAATTTTTCTATATATAATATATATTCCGTTGGCAATTAATTTCTTTCTCTACTAGTCCAGCGGGGTCTCGCTCTTCCGCTCAGCCGCTGGATCTTCACTCCTGACCCTGCAGCATCGTCACCTCGGCTCCGAGTGCTTAGGATTACAGGCGGAGCACTGACCCGCGCAGATCCTTCATTTTCTTCTCATCTTCTGCTCACGATGAAGCGAACGAAGTGAGGGAGAGGCTCAAAGCAGATTTACGCTACTGCCAACAGGCCTCTGCCGTGATGAGTTAGGAGATCTTGGCAATTGAACTCCTGGGCTCACTATGACCACTGGATTCCGCGTGCTGAGCCTCCATAACCTGCAGACTTCCAGAAACGTTCTAAACCGTCTAGATCTGCCAAGCTCGCTATGTCTCTGCTCTTACCAGAATCCCATGATGCAAAGTGCACAAGAGTACAAGGGACCGGGCCTCAAGTGAAAGGGAGTATTAGACACATGCAAGTTACTGGATGGGACTTATAAAACCTACAGTTAGGATAATTGCTT